CCCCTGCAAATCGGAATAAAAATAGGCCCAAAGAGGAAGCAGAAATAAAGGAACGATTTAGCAAAATGAAAATAAAAACACAGAAATAGCCGGGGGAGGGGGGAAACCCTCAGTTTTCACTCTCAGGACTTGCATTTCTGATAAACAATCCGATTTCCCAAGGGTGGTGTTGACTCCGAGGTATCCCAAAATTCTGGTGAGGAAACGGAGTCGATGCTCTGAAGTGAAGCTGCAAAAAAGGGTCAGACTCAGGCCCCTGCATCGCTGGGATCCCACCAAGGGACAGGGTTATAACTTCTCACCCAGGCAGGAGAAGCTGTGGGGATAAAGATCTCTGCCTCTGGAGCAGGACACAGCAGGAAAAATCCACTGGTGATGGATGGGATGATCTTGGATAGCAACTGCTTTAGCTGGTTCAGGGCTGATCCTGCTGCTCAGACAGGCAGACTTTGTTTCCAGGAAAGGTTGTCCCTCCTTCCTTTGACATCCGTGGCCTTTTTTCCCTCTCCCAATGCCCCAGGAGGTATCCTTAGGGCCAAATGCCACCTGATTCCCAACGCTGGGCAGCAGGAGCAGGGAATGCTGCTTGGAGAGATCTGGTGAGTCAGGGGCCAAAACCCACGAGTGGTTTGTGTGGATACCCCCCAGCACCTGCTGAGTTCGGGCTCTGAGGTTAGAAATCTGTCACCTGCTCCAAAAAAAGGCCACTCCAGTATTCCATATGCCATGGGGAGCAGGAGGATGGCAGCGAGGTATCCAAGAGCCAGAGAGGTCAGGCTGGCTCCTGCCAGCTGCTTCCAGGCTTTTCCTATCACAAACCTCACCTGGGAGCTTCTCCTCTGATTTCTCCTCTCCATTTTTTCCTCCCTCTCCACACACCAGCCTCTTCCTCATGTCAGGTTGTGCAACAAACCCTCTGGAGCTAGAGCAGAACCCAACCTGCTGCAAAGAAATGACCCAAATCAGGGGATTTTTGGGAGCTGCTGAAATCCTCTTTATGCTCCTGCATGTTCTTGTTTATTTTTTTAACCCCTCTTTTGCACAAGCTGCTTCTCTTCCTCACCCCGTGCTAGTGGGGCCACTGCATCCTGCTGCAAGGGTCATTCCCACTCTGCAGCCCACAGGGTCCAAAGGCTTTTCCATTGCTTTGTTCCCAAAAATTGCAAAGCCAGCAGGAGCAGCGAGGAATGCAGCCAGATCAAAGTGCACTCGTGTGGCAAAGGCTGACCACAAATGACAGGCATGGGGCAAATGTCTGTCCCTGGTCTCGCCCTGCTCCCTGGGGGATGCTGCACAGGGAATGTGCCCAACATCTGGAGGAAAAGCTGCTGGATCTGCACGGAGGATGCTCCAGCTTCATGTAGCAGTTTTAGTGAATTTTCCTTCTCCCCTTTCCTTTCGGGGCCTCCAACTCCATGAGCCCTTCCTTGGCTGCTGATGGCTTCAAGATGTGGGAAGCTGGGAGGAAAATTCAATCCCTGTCACCAAAGGCTGGGAATGTGCAGTGAGTAAGCAGCTTTGCAAGTCAAAGGAGTCTGGGAGTGATTTGTTGGGGTTTTTTTCACTGATCTTAAGAAGGTTTTTCTTCCTACTTGGAAAAGGCTTCAAAGTGGATTAGGTATGGTTATCAGGCTGCTGGTTCCCCAAATCCCAGTCCCTTCCCATGAAGGGGGGAAACACTCATGGTCTCAACACACCTTGGTCCCAAATGTCCCCATGCAAAGCCAGTGTTGGGTTTGAATATCCAGAAACTGCCTTGTTTCCTTCCCATGCCACAGGAGATGTGTTTGCCTTGGGTTAATGGCTTGTCTTGGTTTCACCTGGCTCTTCCTCCTTTCCTTGGTTTTGTCCCTGGCCCCTCTCGTGGCCACAGGACCAGGGCAGTGACCATCCCTCTGTGTGGCCACTGCTGAGGCCTCACCTCAAATCCTGGGCGCAATTTTGAGCCCTGCATGAAAAGAAAGGCTTGGAGATGCTGGAGTGTATCCAGAGATGGGAATGGAGCTGGAGAAGGGTCTGGAGCACCAGGAGAGGCTGAGGGAGCTGGGGCTGGGGGCTCAGCCTGGACACGAGAGGGCTCAGGGGGGACCTAAACTCTCTACAAGTGCCTGAATCATGGAACGGTTTGGGTTGGAAGCACTTTCAAACTCATCCCGTGGGGCACCTTCCGCTAGCCCAAGCTGCTCCCAGCCCCATCCCGCTCGGACACTGCCAGGGATGGGGCAGAGGAAGTCGTAGCCAGGTCAGAATCGGTCTCTGCTCCCGGATAACAAGAAACAAGACAAGAGCAACCTGCCTCAAGCTGTGGCAGGACGCGTTTAGGTTGGACATTGGGAAAATCCCTTTACAGGCAGGACTGCCCAGCCCTGGCACAGCTGCCGGGGGCAATGGCAAGTCCCCACCGCGGAGGGGTGCGAAAGCCGTGCGCTCCTCGGGGACAGCGCTCCTTGGGGCCTCGCAGCGCTGGGGCAGCGCCGGTGCTGCCCGGTCCCTCCCCCGCCGGGGCCGGACCGGGGCGGAGCGGCGGCGCCGGCGGCCCCCGGGGGCGGCGGAACGGAACGGAACGGAGCGGGGCCGCTGCCGCTCCTGCGCCTGTTCCCGGTGCGGAGCAGTGCCAGCCCCGGTGGCGGAGCGGTGTCAGTCTCGGTGCGGAGCGGAGCCGAGCCATTCCCGGAGCGGTGCCATTCCTGGAGCGGTGCCATTCCCGGTGCGGAGCGGGGCCATTCCCGGAGGCGGCGGCGCTGGCGGTGCCGGCGGGCAATGGGCGGCGGGCGCTGGGCGCTGCTCTGGGCGCTGCTGGCAGCCCTGCGCCCGTCCCGCGGCGGGGCCGGTGAGTGCGCGGAGAGAACCGGGCACGGAGAGAAGCGGGCACGGAGGGAGCCGGGCACGGCCCCGGGACGGGGGACGGCGGGGAGCGCTTTCCCCGCGGGTGCTGCTCCGAGCAGGGCTGTGGCGTGGGCAAAGCGGGCACTGAGCGCACGGCGGGTGCCGAGGAAAAGTGCGCAGGGATGTCCCGGTGGGTTTCTGGCTGCGTCGCAACACGGAGCGGGTCTGGCCGTGCTGGGACAAGGAGTTTGGTTGTTCTGGGACACAGGATTTGGCTGTCTTGGCACACAGGGTCCGGCTGTCCCGGGACACACGGTTTCTCTGTCCTCGAGCACATGGTCTGGCTGTCCTGAATCACAGGATTTTGTTGTCCTGGGTCTGGTCCTTGAGCACAGGGTCTAGCTCTTCTGGGACATGGTTTGGATGTCCTGGGACGCATTTTGGCTGTCCCAGAACAAAGCTCTGCCTCTGCAGCGTGGTCCTGCCCCAGTACTTCACTGCCTGATGTGCCTCTCTTTGCCGGGAGCACCGCGACAGGCAGGGACCACAACCTGTGGCAGATGAGTCTGGGATTTATCCCATTAGCCATGTACGTAGCGATGCTGGGAAAAATCCTCGGGAATCACCACGGTTTGTGGTGCTTTGCAGTGCATGCAGTTTGGTGGCTTTTCAAATCCATCTGCAGAAAGAAATGAGGAGACAAAGTAATTTTTGGACTTTCAAAAATCCTGTGATTAGGGCTGCCCGACCTTTGGGAGCTGCTGGGGGACCTCAGGGTTGCTGGGGGGTCTCGGAGTGGCTGTGCAGATGGAATTTAGCAGGGAAGGCAGGAATGTGAGTGTTTGCTTTGGGCAGGGAGGAGTTAAAATCCTGACTGTCACAGCAGGAGCCCGCGGTCAGGGGAACTCTCTTTGGATGTAAGCAGGAATCCTGGGCTGGTTTGTACAAAAGGTGTTTGAATAAGGAAAATCTCTTTGGATTCAGGTGTGGCCCTGGGGAAAATTAATTTCTTACAGTCATAGAGAGTTGTTCAGCTTGGAAATGATCATTACATTAACCTGACACTTCCAGGTGTGCCACGGCTCCCAGAGCATGGGGAGGTTGGAAACCCCACGGGCAGGGGCTCCTCGTTCCTCCTGCTCAACAGTGCCTGAGCAGAAGTTGTTGTCAGCAGGTGAATTAGTGCCAGCAGTGGGAATTCCAGGATTAGGGAGGCAGTATTTTGGCTGCATTTTGTGTTTCAGTCCTGGGGTGTGCAGCCCCTTCTTGTTGCTCTTCATCCCTAATGAAGTATCCTGCCCGATTTTCCTGCTACAGTTCAGGCACACAGGAGCTGTGCAGCAAGACCTGCCTCTGTTGGTCCTGGAGTTTTGCTGCAATTCCAGGTGTTCCAGGAGAGCAGCAGTGCCCTTGTGAGTGCTTTGGTTTCCAGGGCAGCTTTTTGCCTCAGGCCTGGCTGTGGTTAGGACGGGAGCCGCTCTGACACCCACACAGGCACGCCAGGCTTGCAGCTCCCTGGCTTTAGTCTGGAGTTCTAGAGCCAGCCTAACTGCTCTGGACTCAAGCAAGGGAGCTGCAAGTCCGAGGATGTCCCCATCCCAAACTTCTGGGGTACCCAAAGGCAGCGCTGGAGATGTGGAATTCCTGTACTCACATGAGTCAGAGAGGAAAGTATTTCATTCCTCGGCCAGCAAACACCTCTTCCCACTTAATTAGTGTGAAAACAAGGCTGAGATCCTCCTTGCTCTTTGCCTTCGAGTTTGGAGCAGCCCAGGGAAGCAGAGACCATCGCAGGACACAGCACAAATTCGTGTCCTCCCTGGCCAGGTGTGCGTGCCGGGGGAGCTGCTCCAGCCAGAGCCAGAACCCTTCAAATGGAGCCTTCAAAACCCTTCAGAAAACAGCATTTGAAGCCTGGATTGTGCCAGGCAGGGAGCCTGAGTGACCTCTGGGAGGAGCAGGGCAGGGAAGGGAATTTGGGCTCGCTGCTTGTTTGCTTTTGGCAGATCCTTGGGGAGCTGTGCATCCATGGCTGTCCCTGCAGCTTTGCAGCAGTCACATGGGCTCTGTTTGTGTTGGGATGGGAGCTTTAGGGGGAAGCAGGTTGGAAAAGCTGCAGCTTTTTTGTTGTTTTGGTTTGGTTTTTTTTTTTTTTTTTTTTTTTTTTTTTCTCAAAGGGAAACCCATTGTGCTTCGGGAGAGGCAGGGAGAGCCTCCCCCTTCCCCCTGGGCTGAAAAACCCTGCTGGCGTTCTGTTCTCAAAGCAGCATTTCTGGAGGGTTAAGAATAGGGAGAGATTTAGCAAAGGGATGTAGCCAACCTCAAAATTGGGCTGTGTTTTTTGGCTCTGGGAGAAAACACACCAGGCTCTTGCCCCATTACTCACAACAGCGATGACGTAGCTTTAAAAACTTGTTGTTTGATGTTTGAGGGCTAAAACCTGCCCAAAAACAAACTCGGCTGAGCCCAGGTTCAATAAAAACTGTGCTTTCTTTATCTTTTAAACTGTGAGTGGTTGGTTGGCTTTTCTTTCTTGGAAAAGGGAAATAATTTAGTTGAAATTCCTGTCTGGCACAATGCCTTTGCTTGCTGAAAGGGAGATTTACCACTCGGCTCAGGGTTGTTGATGGCTGGGAAAGCCTCAGGAAGCTCAGAAATGGTCCTGGAAAACCAACCTCCACGTGGTGGATCCCCTAAGTCTGATCCGCCTCAAAAATACACAATTTTTTTTGGAGGAGAATTGCTTTAAGTGGAGCTGCTCTTCATCTCAGCCGTGGCTGGGTGGGAAGTGCTGGGAGGGAGGAGGAAAATACCATTTGGTGGTTTGGAAGTGGGGGTATAAAGTCCTCAAAAAGAGCTTTTCCCTTGGGAAAAAATGTGGGATAAGACCCTGGGAGGGCAACACTCGACAGCAGCTGGCTCCTATACAGTGTCCAAAGGCATTTTTTCATCCGTCTGCAGCTCTTTTCCTGGGAAAGGCAGTGGAGTAGAGGCACTTAGCAAAAGTTGACTCAGAGCATGTCCCTGTCCTGGGAAGGGACAGGCTGCTGGCAGAGCCTAAAATCAGCAAAATTCCAGCCTGGAGCTCTTCCTCTGCCCCAGCTGAAAACGCTTCAGATGAGGCCCCGCAAGGGGATTGCTGGAGTAAAGTCCCAAATTCCTGCTGCCCAGGGATCCTTTTATATTCCAGTCCCGGGGGTGTAATGCAGCAGGAATAGCTCCTGCCTCTCCCCTGCCCGAAGAAACGTGGCTGAGTGTTTTCTTTAGCTTGGGCTGCTCCTGTTTGCTTTAAAAAGGACTTTTTGGAGGTGCCGCCTGTACGGAATCCTGGGACAACATTTTGGGAAACGGAAATGAGCTACCTTTGGTTATTCTTGGAAGCAGCAGGGTGGTTTTGCTGCGAGGTGACGTCCCAAACTTTCTGATGGCGGTGGCAAACCCCAGGTGTTCCCTTGCAGAGGATGCTGATGGGAGAGGAGGTGCGAGGCTGAACCTGTGGGAACATTCCCGGCGTTCCCAGCGGAGCAGCGGCGGTTCAGTGGGACAGCTTAGCTTCAACCCCACGGTGCGGCACGTGGTCATCAACGAGCACAAGGATGTCACCTTCAACTGCTCCATCAAAGTGCCCCAGCAGCTGCTCCGGCCCGATGCACCGGGAATTTCCCTCTGGAAGGACGGGAGGGAGCTGCACGTGCTGGATCGCATCGCCAGCAGCCACTTTGAGATCCCTGATGAGGAGGAGGTGGCCATGACCTCCACCTTCAGGTGAGTGCTGCTGGCCTTCCAGAGCAGGTGGGAATGAGGGATGGCTCCCCGGGAATGAGGGGTGGCTCCCAGGGAAGATGGGAAGCCACAAGGCCTGAGGTGGTGTCCTTTGTGTCCGGCAGCATCATCGGTGCACAGCGCTCGGATAATGGCTCCTACGTTTGCAAACTCAACATCTCTGGCGTGGAGGTGGTGTCTGATCCCATCCTGGTGCAGCTGGAAGGTGAGCTGGAAGGAGCAGCTGTGGAGTTGTGTCCTGGCTGAGCGAGGAGCTGGGAGCCAGGAGTGGGGAATCCTTTGCTTCCCCTGTGTCCGTGCAGGTCTCCCGCACTTCATCCGCCAGCCCGAGCAGATGAACGTCACCAGGAACAGCCCCTTCAACCTGACGTGCCAGGCTGTGGGGCCTCCAGAGCCCGTGGAGATCTACTGGTTCCGGAACAACGTCCGGGTCAACCAGGAACCCCACATCTCCCCATCAGTCCTGACTGTGCCAGGTGAGCTGGGAGTGTCCCTGCCCTGGCGTGTCCCTGCCGTGGCGTGACCCTGCCGTGGGACACCACTGCAGGCAATGTGCCTTGTGCCATCCCAGAGGGATGCCAGGAGGGGCTGTTCCCATGCCATGCACAGCCCTGGAGCTCCTCTGGGGCAGGAAGCCCCATCCGACCCCCTCTGGCTGCTGCCAGGAATCCCTGCCTTGAGAAAGGCAGAACACTCAACCGACTCTTCCCTGAGCAAGCAGCAGATTTTTCCTCCAGCATCTGGCTGTGCCAGCAAGAACCTGGCTGCTCTCCTGGGCTGCTGGAATGTTGGGTCCCCACTCTGGAAGAGTTTGGGATGCCCCCTGTGGTGTGTGTCCATGACAGCTGGTGGGACACAGGGAGAAAAATCCTTGGTGCCCCATAACCCCCACTCTGGTTTTGCTGCAGAGGCAGGAGATGGGGTATTTCTTGCCTTGCTCGTGAGGTGGTTAATTAAGAGCTGGCCTATTAATTGCCCAGTCCTGGCATCCAGGCGGCCTTTACAAGGCAGTGAAAGCCGGAAGAAGTGACTCATTCCTCTTGGATGTCCTTGCATCCGCCTGGCACCCGCTAGGCTGGGTCATTGGAGCAGAGCTTCTCCTGGCCCAGGAGCCCTGGCACCACTGCTGGCATGAGCCAGCACTCCCCACATCCACCTTGGCACGGCACAGAGATCCCAAGCCCGGGGGTCACCTCACCCAGGCTGGGAGAATCCACCCTCGGGTATTTCCAGTGGTCCTTCCCCGCCATCAGCTGGGCAATTTGGTCAGTCCTTAACCAGCACTAAATCATCTGACCAGGCCGTGGCAGGGGCTCTTCTGCTTTCTGCCTTTCCCCTTTTGGAGGGAAAACAACTCCTTGCTCAGGAGTTTGTGCAAGGGCTCCGCTGGGACATCCCGTCCTCGCCGTGCCGGCTGCGTGCCCATGGGAGCGGGGCAGCCGGAGCCTGGGGTCACCTCCAGGCACTGGCAGCAGAAGTGTCACGGAGAGAAGTGAGAACAGGCTGAGAAAGGAAACCTTGAGTGTTGGCTGGTGGGATTGGGATGGTTTTGGGCTATCCAAGGAACAAGGCTGTGTTTTCCCGGCAGGACTCAGCAAGCCGGCGCTGTTCAGCTGCGAGGCCCACAACAGCAAAGGTCTGACTGCATCCAGCCCGGGACAGGTCAACATCAAAGGTCAGCTCCCATTCCCTGTTAAATCCCCGTGCCCAGGTCTCCACACATCCCAGCACTCATCCTTCACAAGCTGAGGGAGATCCCAGCTTCAGTCCTGTGACTAAAACCCAGTGGGATCTGGTTGTAACGTGGTCATCCCAGCACCGGCAGAGGGGAAGGAGCACCGAAATCTAAATTTGAAAGCAAAACTGTCAGCTTCAAAGCTAGATTCGGAAGGGCTGCATCACTCCTTTCCTTCCTTCACAACCAGGGCGGTGCTCCATAGGAATTTTCCATAGGAAACAGTGCAAATTGCTGACATTCCTGATGGGAGCTGCTCTGGCAACGTGAGGAAGATGTTCCCCTAAACAAGTCACGGCCTTTAAGCTGCCAAGAGCGGTGACAAATATAGAAATGGCCAAAATAGTTCTGAAAGTGACATTTTTATGCTTCCCTATCCGGTGGTCCGGCACATCCGCAGAATTCGGATGTGGGGTCACACACACTGAGCCCTGGGAGCTCCAGGGAAAAGCCACCACGCCAGGTTTGTGTTCAGGCTTCCAGCTGACTGCCCTTGGCTTCTCCTCCCTGCAGAAATTCCATTGGCTCCTGTCAGTGTGGAGGTCCTCAACAGGACAGCCCATGGAATCAGGATATCCTGGGTGCCAGGCTTTGATGCCTTCTCTGCCTTGAACAGCTGCAGTGTCCAGGTGAGCATCCAGAATTCCCACATCCCTGCAGCTCCCCCCTACACATGCTCTGAGGCAGCTGCACAGATTTCACGGAATCCTGGAATGGTTTGGGTTGTAAGGACCTTAAAGATCATCCAGTTCCCTTCCAACACCTTCCACTATTCCAGGTGTTGCTCCAAGCTGGCCTTGGGCACTTCCAGGGATGGGGCAGCCACAGCTTCTCTGGGTACCTCGTGCCACAGCCTAACAGGGAACATTTTCCTCCCACTGTCCCACCCATCCCTGCCCTCTGGCAGTAGGAAGCCATTCCTCCTTGTCCTGTCACTCCATGCCCTTGTCCCAAGTTCCTCTCCAGCTCTCTTGAAGCCCCTTCCCATTGGGCAACACAGCCAGGTTTTCATGTGTTTTATGGACCTGGTCAAACCCTTCCCAACCAAGCAGCATTCCCAAAGTTGGGATTTGGAGGGGCAGGTTTCCCTCAGCTCCCCACTCCTGGGAAGGAGCTGAAGGATTTCCTGTGTCCTGGACAGCTCAGGGAGCACCACCTCCATGGGCAGAGCCTGCAGGCATTTTCCACCTGCTGCACGTGTCTGGCTTTCCCAGTCCAAGCCCATCTCGCTGTCTCAGGGATATGATTTTTATCCTGGAAAATCTCCACTCCAGCTGGGATAGCACGTGGATAGAGGTAACCTTTGAAGGCAGGTAAAAGTGAAAGGAATTGCAGGGAAGAAAGGTACCAGGGCTAATATTAGCACCATGTCCTGCTGCTGCCTTCCAGCCAGGGTGGAGAGCCAAGGAATTTCCTATGACTTAACATTCATGGGCTGTCAGTAGGAAATGGCCTTTGAAAGTGGAAAACAGGAGAGGGCTTCTGGCAAAAACACAGCTGTGACTCAGCCCTTTTGCTGCTGTCCCCTTGGATAATCCCTGGGCCCACCGAGCCAGTGACTCACCCCCGAGGGCTGCAGCTGGCCCACCTGCCAGCTCCAACTGGTGCAGTTTGCAAACATCCTGATTTCCTTCCAGAATCCAAGGGTTTGATGGGTTTTTCTCAGAAGACAATTGGGGATCAGGCTGGATGCTCAGGATGTCTGGTCCCAAAAGTGTTGTGTGTGTTCCTCTGGTCACTGCTCGCCTCCCTCGGAGCATCTGGTGACAGCTTGGGGGTGGAGGTGGCATTCCCTGACTTTTTCAGGAGACAGGCAACCCCTCAGCTCCTTCCCACTGTTTGTAAAGAGTGGGGAGCTGAGGGAAACCTGCCCCTCCAAATCCTGACTTTGGGAATGCTGCTTGGCTGGGAAGTGTGTGACCAGGACAAGTGTGTGGCTGCAGCGACCCCAGGCTTGCAGGCTCTTCCAAAGATCTCCTTGAAGCATTTCTGGGAATTTCTCCATGGAAACCTGAAGCTGAAGGCTGTTCTGTTATATTTTGGCTGTAAAACAGATGCTGAGACCATCCTGGGATGCTGTGGGGAGCTCTTCTGATTGAGCACAAGGATAGGTGTCCTGCCATCCCAAAAATCCTGGATGGCTTTTCAGAGGAGTGCACGGCCCTGTGCACATGGGTTGGGTTGTCCTTGTCCTTGCTCTTCCCTCTGTCCCAGTCCAGGTAGTGCTTCCTAAAAAATGAGATGTTTCTTGGAAAGCTGCAGTGGCTCTGTATGCAGCTCCATGGGGGTTCCACACCCACACATTTGTCTTTTCTGTGAAAAGCAGGACTTGTTTTTGGGATGTTGAATTCATCCATGCTGCTAATTGTGACAAGGACTGGGATTATTCCAGACTGGGAGATAAATCCTGTTTTCCAAGGATGTGCTGCACGAAAAAAAAAGAGCTTTGTTTTGTTTATTTTGGATGTGCTGCCTGGTTATTTCATTTGGGGCTCCTTTTGCTCCATGCCACAAGAAACAGCAAATCATCCCTCCCTCCTTCCCAGCATCCTTGGGATGTTCCCAGCTCCACACGTGCTGGAGCCATGAGCTTTCCCTGCAGAGTTCAAATGGGAGGCAGGGCTCTGGATCCTGTTTTCCAACATCTCTCCCTGCAGTTGTTGCTGACTAATCCCTGTTTGTGGGCTGATTTTCCAATTAAAGGTCAAGGAAGTCGTTCCAAGAGGCAACAACTCCCTCCAGCCCTTCCACACCTCGGTGCCTCCCCATGTGTATCACATCCAGCAGCTGGAGCCCATGGAGGAGTACAACATCCGTGTTTCCTGCAGGAATGAGGTTGGCTGGTCAGCATTCAGCCCCTGGATAACAGCCAGCACCACGGAGGGAGGTAGGAAAGGAGAAGGAGAAGGAGAATGAAAATGAGAAGGGATTTCCCTGCCTTAATCCCTCCTGGTTGCTCCCAGGGTGGGAGAGGAAACTTCCCCATTCTCCATGGGCTTTCTGGTTGAGCACCAGCTCGTTTCCCATCAGATTCCCACATCTCTGCACCCTTTCTCCCAGCTTCCCTCACCTCCTTTTCCCCACCGATCCCCACAGCTCCCAGCACGCCTCCGCTGAACGTCACGGTGTTCCTGAACGAATCCAGCTCCTCGCTGGAGATCCGCTGGGTGCAGCCATCCCTGGAGAGGATCCACGGGCAGCTCCAGGGCTACCACGTCTGGTACAGCTGGCACAACTCTGAGGGCACGGTGAGTCACCAGGAAATGGGGAAGAATGGCTGAATCCTGGGAAAATTCCCAGCAGGGATGTCCAGATGGGTTCGAGTGCTTCCATAGATTTTTTTTTGGAGCTCGTTTCTTTGATGTCTTGGGCTTTACTGTGGGCTTCAAACCACTCCTGGCCTTGCATTCCCTCGATTTTGAGCTGTTCCTTACTCAGGTGGGATTTATCCCTGCCTTAACCCACAGCACAAAATTTCAGAGCTCGAGGAACTCTTTGGCCCAAAGGCCTCTCTGTGAGTGCATGAAATCACCTGGCACACCCTGCTTGCCTTTTCTAGGATTTGGGAAATAACTGCAGGGATTTGCTAGGGCAAGGTTGGCCCAGGCTCTGGGCAAAAGATCCCATCCAGAGCCCGTGGATAAGAGCAGGAATGGATCCAGCTGTGGTCTGGGTTCCTCTGTGCCAGGCTGGTGGAGTGGCTGGCTGGAAACAGTGACTCATCCCCATTTTTTTGTTGGATGCTGCACTTTCTGTTCTCCTTTTGCTCCTCCGTATAGATCCAGCCTGAATGAAGCCAGGGAAACAAAATCATGGTCTTGTGACTCGGAAAAAAAGTGCTGACAGGAGCTGTCTCTCTCTCCAGCAAAAGGCCAAATCCAGGCCTTGCCCTTTAAGCCCTGGGAGATTTATTGTTGCTGTTGTTGTTTGTTAGTTTTTGTCCATTTTTCCAGCTTACGGAGTGAAATTTTTTCCGGTTCTCAATTTTTCCGTGAGTCTGAGGCACGAGACTGGAGTTCTGACTCCTCAAAAGGCTCCTTCTAAGGCTGGACCCGGTAATCCCAGAGGTCTTTTCCAACCTAAGTGGTTCTGTGGGAATGATTCCGTGAAATAAAGTCCCTGACTTGTGGCCCTGCACAGGCTAAATCTGGACTGCCCCAAAATAAGCACCAGTTTTTGCAGGATAAAGTCAGGAAGAAGCTGGATTTCGGTGTCACAGGGCCACCTGCAGGCCTCTCCACAACCAGAAAATCCCCAAAAAGTTGGTTTATTTTCCTCCTTAACCAGCAGTCTTTGTTGGAGCCAAGGCTGCCTGAGTTGGGACAGGAAGAAATTCCTCAGCAACCACAAAACTCATAAAATCCCATTAAATTTGGCAGGTCAGCCCTGCTTTGTGCTCACGGTCTGGATCTGTCCTCAGATGACACAGCAAAGCCCTTTAGGACAGGAAAGGATCCCAATTTTAGGCTGGAGGTAGGGAAAGGATCCCGTGTGGATGCAAGGAGGAGGAAGGCAGGAGTGTGGGAGCAGAGGTGACAGCAGGTCCCAGCTCCTGTCACTGGCAGTAGGTGCCCCCACATTCCCAGGGCCTGGGTGTTTCACATCCGTTTCTGTGGCTTTTTTGGGACAGGGAACAGAAACTGGTTCCCTCTGAGAAGCTTTTATTGCCTTCCCTTGTCCATTGATCCTCTCCTTGTTATTGATCCCCTCAGCTCCATTCCCTCTCCTTGTCACTGATCCCCCTCAGCTCCTGCTTTTTTTCTGGGATGTTCAGGAAGGAGCCAGGCACTGCTGGGCACAGCAGCCTGCCAGATGTTTTGGCTGCAGCTGGGCAGCTGTTTTGCAGTTGGAAATCGGCAGGGAGCAGCAGCAGCACTTTCTCAGCTGGAAAAGAACAGGAAAGGATGGAATTTGCAGGGGAAGGCTCCTGTGTTTTTACCAAGGCACGCTGCCTCCTGCCTTGGTACCAGCCAAGGAAACACACAAAAAGTTGGAATATAATTAGCTGGACACAAAAACCGCAGAAGGCAGAAAATATCTGCCCTAGGATCCCCTTCCAGATCACTCGGACAATCCTTCCAGGAGCACACGGATCCATGGGTGCTGAGACTCACAGGGCTCCAGTGGCCAAACTGGAAGGCTGAGGGTCACGATCCATGTCACCAGAGCCTTTCCCTTCCTTGCCAGATCCTTCCCTGCCTCTTTTCTGGCTCTGGCTGCTGCTGTTGTGAAGCAGAGAGGGCCAGGAACGCTGGGGTTGAAGGGGAAGCTCTGCTCAGCTCCGCTCCCGATCCCATCCGGCCCTTGCACACAGGGCCATTCTTCTCCCTAAATAGCCGGGTGCTGCACTTCCTCTGGGCTGGGAAAGCAAAGCAGCTCCAGGGGTTGCCAAGGGGACAGTTCTCAGTAAATCTCCAGGTCTCCCTGCCTTCCCCAGCCCAGGATTTTCCTCTCTCTCTCTCCCTCTTTCCAGCAGATTGTCTCCGACGAGGCGCGGCTGAACGGCAGCGTGGCCGTGCTGCCCGTGGTGGCCACCAATGCCACCTTCTCCGTCCGTGTGGCTGCTGTCACCAAGGGGGGAGTGGGACCTTTCAGCATCCCCGTGGAGATCTCCATCCCCGCCAGTGGTAAGGAGCTGCAGGGCTGGATGCTGGGAATGGCACAGGGCTTTCCATCCTCCCTTAGATAAAGCATCCCTGTCAGCCAAGGATCCTGATTTGGGAGCAGCAAAGCCTCACTCCTCATTCCCTTTTTTTTCCCATGTAACCCTTTGTGCTCTGCTGGAAACCCCTGGGAATTCCTGCCCCATGCTGCAGGCTGACTCTTCCACCAGCTCCATTAACAGGATATTTTCTTAGGATTAATAACCTCAGCCCCCTCTTCGACTCCAGCCTCGGGGAATGCCGACTCCTTTGTCGTAGCCCTGGGATTTATCTGCGGGATAATCGCTGTTGGAGTCATCCTCTGCTTGACCGTGGTCATCCAGAAACGATGCGTGGAGACAAAATACGGGTAAGGGGATGGAAAATGGGCAGCTCCCAAAGGGCGGGTGGCCAGCAACCCCTGCTGGATTTGGGGACAAGGATTCTGTCCCCAGGACTGGTGGCGTTACCACAAATGGTATTTTTTATGCCAGTGGTGAGGGACTAAGTGTATTTTTCCTTCCCCTCCCTTTCCTCAGCTCAGCAGTTCACCTTTTCCTCACTATTCCTATTTTTAAAGGGAAGTGAACTTGTGCAACTCGGTGGGGGAGGTGTTTTGGCACAAAAAGGAGAGAGCAGAGAATGTCACTGGTCACCAGAGGGTGACCTGGGCCCAAGGAAGCGGCTGGAGCTGTATCAGGGGAAGTTAGGCTGGATTTTGGGAAAAGATCATTCCCCCAGAGGGAGCTGAACAGGCTTCCCAGGGAATGGGCACGGCCCCGAGGCTGCCAGAGCTGCAGGAGAGTTTGGACAACACTCCCTGGGATGCACAGGGTGGGATTGTTGGGGTGTCTGGGCAGGGCCAGGAGCTGCACTGGATGATCCTTGTGGGTTCCCTTCAACTCCATGAGTCTGTGATTCCATAATACCCCATGTCCTGGAGAAACCCTCCTGCCTCATCCCACGCCCGGGTTCAATGGCCCAGCATTGTTTAAAGGAAGGACAAAGGGCTGTTTTCTCCTGCAGTAACCCAACACTCCTCACTCATCCTCGTGACTTCCCAAGTGGTGTTTAACTGCCCTGTGCTCCCAGTTTGGAAACTGGTACCGAGTCAGGATCCCTTTCCTCACTGGTTATTGTCACTCTTTCCCTGCTTCCCCAGCTCTGGAGCATCCTGCCCTGGTTTTGTTTCCCAAAGCTGGACTCTGCAGGGCTCCAGCAGTATTCCTGCTCCTTGAGTAGGAAATGAGTATCCTATTTCCTCCCCAGAAGTTCTGTGACTCACTCCTTGATGGTTCAGTGGTGTTTGTGGAGCTGTTGTTTAGCTCAGACGTTGTAGGCGATGGTGCTGATCCAGGAAAAAGGAAATGGAATGTGCATTTCCCCTTTTCCTACGGATCCCTTGGGCTCCTGCCCCTGCCCTGCTGATTCCTTCATCCAGCCACAGCGGAGGTGTCTGTGTTCCCTCAGGAATGCTTTCAGCAGGAACAACTCAGAGCTGGTAGTGAACTACACGGCCAAGAAGTCCTACTGCCGGAGAGCCGTGGAACTGACACGTAAGGACACGTTTTTATCCCTCTGGAAGGAGCCGAGGGGGAAAATGGCAGCAGGTGGGAGGTGCCTGAGCTCCTGTTCCCCTTTCCTGCAGTGGGAAGCCTGGGTGTCAGCAGGGAGCTCCAGCAGAAGCTGCAGGATGTTGTCGTGGACAGAAACGCCCTGAGCCTGGGAAAGGTCCTGGGGGAGGGTGAGTAAAACTCATCTCGTTCCAACCTCCTGCCACGGGCACGGAACCTTCCATGAGCTCCTTCTGTCACTGATGAGGAACAAGCCTTTTGGCTCCATCTTGGAGCATCCCAGAGCTTAGGGATCCGGTGATGTCCTGAAAGGTGGTGCTTTGGGTAAAGGGATTCCTTCTCTCCTGTGGTGCAGGGGAGTTCGGATCCGTGATGGAGGGAAGGCTCAGCCAGCCCGAGGGGCCCCCACAGAAGGTGGCTGTGAAGACCATGAAGTGTGAGTTGTCTCTCCGCTGCACAGGACTTGGTGTTTGTCCCAGCATTCCCAGTACCCCTCTCAGGAATGGCATCCTGGCACCGTTTTTGGGATTTCAAAGCTCTTTCTTTCTCTCTGCTTCCCAGTGGATAACTTTTCCCAAAGGGAGATCGAAGAGTTCCTCAGCGAAGCAGCGTGCATGAAGGACTTTGACCATCCCAATGTCATCAAGCTCCTCGGTATGAGCTGTCCCTTCCCACCCTCCAGCTGGGATTTGGGTGGACCTGGATCCCTTTTCCCAGGGCGCTGTGTGAGTTGTCCATATTTCTCAGGGGTGTGCATCGAGCTGAGCTCCCTGCAGGTGCCCAAGCCCATGGTGATCCTGCCGTTCATGAAATACGGGGACCTGCACAGCTTCCTGCTCCGCTCCCGGCTGGAAATGGCCCCCCAGGTAGGGAGCACCTGGAGCAGAGGAGTGTGCTGGCATGGAGGAGGGAAGGGAATCCCCCCCTCTGCAGCCCCTGCAGGCTCGTGGCTCAATGAATGGCACGGTCTGAGGGATGAGAGCTCGTCTGCTGCCGTGGGCTCATCCATTGGGATGGCAGCCCTGGACAGGGAAGCCTTTTGGATCAACACTGTGTAACAGCCATTTTCCCTCCCCAGTTTGTGCCCCTGCAGACCCTGGTGAAGTTCATGGTGGACATCGCCCTGGGCATGGAATACCTGAGCAGTCGGAACTTCCTCCACAGGGACTTGGCAGCCCGGAACTGCATGTGAGTGTTTTCCTCCGCTCCATCCCACGGGATGAACCCTGCGGATTTACAGCTCTGCTCCTTTCACTAAAAGCTCCCTTGGTTTTGAGACACAGAGCTCAGCCTGGGGCTGGTGGCTCAGGAGGCGGCCCTGGGGCTGTCCTGATGCATCCCGCTTGCCCCCAGGCTGCGGGATGACATGACGGTGTGCGTGGCAGACTTCGGGCTCTCCAAGAAGATCTACAGCGGGGATTACTACCGGCAGGGCCGCATCGCCAAGATGCCGGTCAAGTGGATCGCCCTCGAGTCCCTGGCTGACCGTGTCTACACCACCAAGAGCGATGTGGTAAGTCCCTGTGCCTGGAGGGACGGTCCCCTGGGCTCAGCCACGCCGTGCTCCTGCTGGTGGCATTCCCTGGAAGTGCAGGAGGTGCCAGAGCCCTTCTCCTGCCTGTTCCTTGTGCGGGCCCCTCGCCTCCGTCCTGGTCGTTCCCAATTTCGGGAGCACCACAGCTCTGCCCGTTGTCCCTTGGATGGCAGGCAGTGACCTTTCCCGATGAAAAGGTTCATTCATTGCTCCTGGAAGCGTCCCTTCAGCCTTGGCCTTTCCCTTTGTGCCGGCAGTGGGCATTCGGCGTCACCATGTGGGAGATCGCCACGCGTGGGATGACGCCGTACCCAGGGGTGCAGAACCACGAGATCTACGAGTACCTCTTCCATGGGCAGCGCCTGAAGAAGCCCGAGGACTGCCTGGATGAGCTGTGAGTCCTGGGATCCCAGCTGGGAAAACGGGTTTCTCTAGGATCAAACCTCCCCCCTTTAATGTTTGCTGAGGAAAGCCGGATCCTGGAGCGGAGCGCGCGTCAGCATCTGCTGAGCTCCAGGCAAAAATCCCAACAAATGTCCTGAGGGGAAGCAGTGGGTTTGTAGGGCTGGCAGGGTCACCAGGAACAGTCAGTGATGGGATTTTTTAGTGTTTTATTTCTTTATTTTTGGATTTGTTTCGGCCAAAAGGTCCTGGCTAGTGATGCTCCTCTTTGTCCCACAAAACTCCCTCCAGGGCCCTTCCTTGCCTTAAATCCATAAATCTGTGTCCCCCTGGAAAGGGAAAATGCAGAATGCACAAACCTTTGGATTTCTGAGCAGCTCAGCAAAGGCCTTTCTCCCAGGCTTTCTTCCTGAATTTTTTTCCAGTGCCATTAGAGCTGAAAATGTTTAAACCCTCATGGCTGAGAGCTTCAAATCCCAACAGGATGAACAGAGTTGTACATTTCCTAAAAGGCTCCTCTCCACCGCCTGTTCCTGAAGGAAGCAGTGCAGGAACCTCTAAGAATCCAGCCTGCTGGAGGGCAGAGACGCTGGCAGGGACGTGCTGGGAGCTTCCAGGGCTCCCTGACATCCAGCCTGGGAGCAGGCACCTGCCCAGGGAAGGACTGGGCATCCCACGCACAGAGCTGGGATGTTCCCAGGGAACAGGTCCCAGGGCTGCGCTGGAAGAGATTTCTCACGCTTCCAACATCAGCTTGGGCTGATAAATCCATGCCCTTGGCAAACAGCCTGAGCAGAGGGAGTTGGTTTCACTTTGATTTAATGGGAATTTCGAGGCTTGCCCAGCTTGGAGGGAAACTGGGAATTAGCCCCCATACCTCCCCCTTAACCCAGAGGCTGCCTGGAGAAGCCGTGGCTGCTTAATGGAAGTGTTCAAGGACAGCTTGGAGCAACCTGGGGTGGTGACATGGCAGCAGGGTGGGACTGGATGAGCTTTAAGGTCTCTTCCGAACCAAATCATTCTGGAATGCTGGGATCCTGTTAACCACACTCCCAAATTTCCAGGTACGAAATAATGTCTGAGTGCTGGAGAGCCGACCCTGCCAGCCGCCCCACCTTCTCCCAGCTCAAAGCCCATCTGGAGAAGCTGCTGGAAAACCTTCCCAGCGCCAAGGCATGCGGGGACATCATCTACATCAACACCGGCCTTGCCGAGCAGAGCCCGGACTCCACGCAGGATTCGGGCTTCCCGCAAGCGGACTCGGACTGGGAGGGCGGGGAGGCGTCGGAGCCCGGCTCCCCCGGCGCGGAGGCGGCGCTGGTGGCCGTGGATGTGCATCCCGGCGAGCCCTGGGACACCAGGTACGTCGTGGAGGAGCAGCTCGCTGGCCCCGTGGAGGAGCCCTACGTGCCCCTGCTTCCCTGGCAGGGCTCGGAGGCGGGGAGCCGATGGAGCCAGGCCGACACTTTGCCCGTGTCGGAGCGGCCGCGGGCCGGGAGCCGCGGGGAGGACTCGGAAGTGCCGCTGGGAACGGTGTGAGTGGCACCACGGCGAGGACACTGAGGGAATATTTGAATAAACAGTCGTCTCTTTTATTTATTATCTCCTGCACGGTTTTCCTGGTGGAGGCTGGCTCTCCCCAGGAGCTCTCTCCTGGGCTGAAGTCCCAAGGGTTTGGAATTAACAGTGGAATTGTTTTGCTGTAATTATTAATTTTTTCCAGACGGAGCGGAGCAGGGTGGGGTGGATGGTGCTGAGGGGGCAGCTGGTGTTTTCCCCCTTTTCCATCATTCCAAGTGTTAAGGTTTGTGGGATGGGCAGCCCCCTGGATGAAGAGGGCTCCAGCTCTACAGTCTGCTGGGGAACTTCACACTGCAAGAGCTCCCCATGGAAAACAGGAACGGAGCCCCAGCAGGTGCTCCCACATTCCCTTCTCCCTGACGGGTTTCCATCCATCCCATCCTCGTGCTGAGGAACCGTCACTCCTGCTGCAACACCAGGGAAACAGGAGCCTGAGGGGATCCCGGGAGGGCTGGAGCCCCCCAGCCATGACCTGGCTTTTCCCTGCTGCCCCTTCTCCTTCGGGGGGGAATTCTGCTGCTTCCACAGCGGGGCTGTTTAGCAGCAACCGGCGCCGGACTCAGCACCTCGGGCCTCTCCGTGGGGGAGACCGGGCTGGGAATGGGGGAACCGGGCTGGGGAGGGGGTGCAGGAGCTGCGAAGGGCATTTTGTGACTGGGGAACGGGGTGCAGTGGGGTGCAGGAGCTGGAAAACGGGGTGCAGGTCTGGGGAGGGGCTGCAGGGCTGGGGAAGGGGCGCGGGTGGTCCCGGCCCTGGGGGAGCTGGGGGAAAAGCCACCTTCTTCCCGCACCCCAAGCGCTGGGGATGGGTGCTCGCAGCGCCGCGCCGGTGTCCCGGGGGATGGATGCATGGATGGATGGATGGATGGATGGATGGATGGATGGATGGATGGATGGATGGATGGATGGATGGATGGATGGATGCGCGGGGCCGGCCCGCCGCCGGGGCGGGGAAGAGCCGCGTCCCCTGCACGGGGCAGCGCGGGGGCGGCGCGGGCGGGGCGAGGAGAGCGCGGGGCAGCCGGTCCCGGAGAGCGGCGGGGCCGCACCGCACCATGGCGGGG